CGCTTAGAATGACATTCTCCAGGGATATAATGTTGCTGCAAATGGCGTTATGTTGTCATTTTAAATAGCTGAATAGTATTCCATTGTATAAATATACCACATCTTTATCCAGTCGATGACTTTCTTATTCCATTGTTTCATATTATTTTTTTGAACAAGCTTTTATCCTCTGAGCACTTCTTTTAATATGTTTTTATTGAAGTATAGATGGCTTCCATTTTTATATATTTCTAAGCCTATATTATTTTGTTATTATATATAATTTAGGTTTATATACATTATTAATTTACTAAAACATTTACTTTGAGAGTATATAAAACTTCAAAACTATATTCTATAGCTTTATATATTGTGTGTTGTATATATGTATATTTATATGGAACACTTCATGAATTTGCATGTCATCTTTGTGCAGTAGCCATGTTAATTTTCTCTGTATTGTTCCAGTGTTAGTATATGTGCTGCTGAAGTGAAAACATATTATTATATATATATCAATTAGAGTTAGAAAGTCATCATTTTGCAACCATCAAAAATATGTTATCTATGTATATATCTATATCAATATCAATTTATATATCTATATATACTTTCTCTTACCTCCACTCCCATCATTGAGTTATAATCAATAATTGTCATTCATTTTGATGTTCAAATTGTCTTGTTTGGCAAATGAGAGCCTCTTTAAACTAGTCGTATGTCATTTTGACATATTCTTCACTTTTGAGCACTTCTTAACTTTTTGGCACAGCAACCTGTTCTAGGCTCATCTTACAGCTTCTCTCAGCCCCAAGTCAGGTTTTTCTCTAAGAAGCTTTGGTTCCTTATATTGGAAAAAATTATTTGGAAATAAAAATCTAGGTGATGGATGTGATCATTTGTACTGTGGTACCATTGGCTCTAGACCCTCTTAGTGGACAGAACTATGAAATATAACTTTTCTGATGATATTAGGGTAGCTTTCCTTGTTGCAGTCTTCTTGTTTCCATGCTTCTATCCAGCTTCTCGTATTAACTTACACTTCAGTAAATTCACTATGTAGCCTCATGCCTTGCTTTTGTCAATATAATTCCTTCTAAGCAGAATTCCCTTACTTCATGGCCTGCCTCATAAACACATACTGTCTTTCAATTCTTGGTTTAAGCATCATCTCCTTTATAAAGTTGCCTAAGATCTCCTAATTAAAACCAAATATTCCCAGCTTTTATCTCTCTATTGTACTCAAAACAGACATCATAACAGCATTTAGGAAACTTCATTGCACATGTTCATTTACATGTCCAACTTCTCCAGTAAGCTGAAGGCAGGAGTCACATATTACTATGTTAGTAAGGACAATAATTAGTGAAGGAAATAAGATTGGAAGAATAACTGAACAAATGAATAAATACTCAATTTTTTTTCCTCTACTTGGTTTTTGGTGCTTGATTTCACCCAACCTATAAAAACACACAAATACATCTTGGGAAGACCCCACTAAAACTTTCCAGGACAGACCCATCCCCCAAAACTTTTCTCCAAGTACTGGGCAACAGCCAGGGTCAGGTGATCATTAAAGGGTCCAGCAACGACCTGGATACCTAGAGGAAGTCCTTTGGCATTCAGACCCAGTGGGCACTGAGTCACAGGTAAACCCAGGGCATTGAAGATACCTGAGTAAACAAGAAAAATGTGAGAAATCAAGGCCTATTCTTGAAAACAGATTTTCTCCCCTCATTTTTACAATAATGATGACAATAGATGCAAATATATAGTTAAATTTACTATCCACTGAGTACTCTTCTAGAGACTTGATATGTATTAAACATTTGAATAATCACAACAAACCCCTGAGATAGAAACTATTAATTATTCCTATTTTACAAATGAAATTATTAAAGTATAAGAGAAGTTAGATGACATATCTATTATTTGGCTAGTAAAAGCTAGAGTTAGGATCTGGATGCAGAAAATGTGAATGAGAGTTTGCACTGTTTTCCACTATGCTACTCTTAACTTGTCCTCTATAGTATTTTCAAAAATAAATAAATAAATAAATAAATAAAGTAAATGTTAATATGGCATAATATGCTTTCACATTTTAGATTTTCTTTTTACTTATGAACATTCTAATATAATTTTGTGAGCTGTACGTTGTGATTCTTTACCTTATTCATGTTTTATAAAGTTTTTTTTGCATTTCAATTTACATAAAATAAGATTTCCCCTGTTTCAAATATACAATTAAATTATTAGTAGTAAATTTTAAAACTGTGCAACTATTACCAAAATCTATGTTTGGAACATTTTCATCATCCCACAAAGAAAATTTATAACAATTAATAGTTACTCTCCATTCCTCTACTCCCCAATCCCTTAGGAACCAATAATCTACTTTTTATCTCTATGGATTTACTATTCTAGACATTTCCTGTAAATGGAATCATATGAGTCTGGCTTCTTCTACTTAGCATAATGTTTTCAAGGTTCATCCAAGCCATTCTGCGTTATTACCAAAAAGTATATCTATTGAATGGATATACAAAATTTTGATTATCCAGTTATGAGTTTATGGGCATTTAGATTAACACTTTGGGGCTATTATTAATTATGCTATGATCAATATTCATGTAGAAATCTTTGTATAGACATATGTTTTCATTTCTCTTGAGTATGTACTTAGGATTAAAATTGTTGGGTCATATGGCAAATTTACATTTAACCATTTAATGGAAATGTCAAAATGTTTTCCAAAGAGGCTGCACCATTTTTGCAACATTCTTAGCTGCAACGTATGAAGGTTCCACATCTTCATTAACAATTACAGTTTTTGATTATAGCTCTTCTAGTTGGTGTACAGTGATATTGTATTGTGATTTTAATATGCATTCCTTTAATGACATGATATTGAACATATTTTCATACACTTATTGTCCACTTGAATGTCTCCTTTAGAAAATATCTATTGAAATTCATTTTTCATTTTAATTTGGATTTCAGTCACTTGAGTTGCAAGAGTTCTTCATAAACTTGGAATATAAATCATTTAGTGGATGTATAATTTGCAAATAATTTCTTCCAGTCTGTATGTTTCTTGAAGACATCTTTTGAACAGAAAAAGATTTTAAGTTTGATGAAGTTCAACTATCATTTTTTCTTGTATTTCTTGTGCTTATGATGCTGAATCTAAAAAATCTTTGCCTAACCCAGGGTCACAAAGATTTACTCTTATGTTTTCTTGTAAAAGTTTTATTTTTTTAGCTTTTACACTTGAGTCTGTGATCCATTTTAAGTTAATTTTTGTGTAAGGTGTGAGATAGGGGTCTGAGTTCATTCTTTTGCAAGTAGACATCCATTGTCCCAGCACCTTTTATTTAAAAGACTTTGAATTCTGCATCTAATTACTTTTGAACCTTTGTCAAAAATGAATTGAATGTAAATGTAGGGACTTATTTTTGTACTCTGAATTCTAATCCACTGACCTAGATATCTATCCTTATACCAGAACTACAATTTACTGATTACTATAGCTTTGTAAATTGAGGATTATGTGTACTCCAATGTTTTCTTCTTTTACAAGACTATTTTGGCTAATTAATTTCTTCTAGATTTCCATATGAATTTTAGCATAAACTAATCATTTTGGGAAAAAAACAGAAAACATTTAGATAGGAATTGCACTGAATCTGTAGATCAATTTAGGGAATATTGCAGTCTTACTAATATTAATTCTTCTGATCCAGGATTATGGGATAACCTTCCGTTTGTTTAGGACTTCATTAATTTCCTTCAGGAATGTTTTCATTGCACAAGTCTTGCACTTTTTTCATTAAACTTATTCCTAATTATTTTACTATTTTATATTATTGGTAATATAATTGTTTCTTAATTTCATGTCCATATTTTTCTTTGTATGCCTTTGTATTTGTTTTCTTTGCAGAATATGGACGATGTATCCTATGACCTTGCTGAATTATCTATTGGTTTTAGGTTTTAGAATGTTCCTTAGGATTTTGTACACACCAATCATACATTTAGAAAATAAAGACAATTTTACTTGCTTTTTAAAAATTTGGGTGCCTTTTATCTCATTTTCCTTGGTTAAATGTACTTGCTAGTACCTCCTAAAACAATGTTGAACACAGGTAGTGAGAGTGGAAATCCTTTCCTTGTTTCAGATCTTAGGGGAAAAATGTCTTTTAGTATTAATTATGAAGTTATCAGTGTGCTTTTTTATATACATTTTACATATCAGGTTAAGGGAATTCTCTTTTATTCCTAGTTTGCTGAGAATTTTTACCATAATGGGTATCGGGTTTTGTCAAATTTTTTTTTGGCATCTATTCAGATGATCATATATTTTTATGCCCTTTATTTTATTAATATGATATATTCTATTAAGTGATTTTTGGATGTTAAAACAACTTCACATTCCTAGAATTGTACTTGTTAGTTGTGTATAATTCTTCCTATGTTGCTGAATTTGGTTTGCTAATATTGTGTTACAGATTTTGGCATGTATATTAACGAGGGACATTGATTTGTAATTTTCTTTTCTTTTGTTGTTTTTATCTGGCTTTGGTATCAGAGTGACTAGCCTTACAAAATGAATGGATGAATCAATAAACAAAAAATACATAAATAAATAATGTTATTTATTGCTGGTTTCATAGAATACTTTCAAGTGTTCCTTCCTTTTTTTTCTGGAAGCATTTGCAAAATGTTGGCATTAATTCTTTCAGTGTTTGGCAGAATTCATCAGTGAAGCTATCTGGAAGTGATCTTTTGTTTGCAGGAACTTCTTAAATTACTAATTTAATAAGTTAGCTTATTACAGGTTTTCTAATTTTTCTTGAATCAGTTCTGGCAGTTTGTGATATTCTAAGGATTTATCCATCTTATCTAAGATTTTTTACTGTTTTGGGAGACAGCTGTTCATAATATTCCCTTGTAATGCTTCTAATTCACTTAAAATTGGTAGTGATGTCCCCTTCAATTCTGTCAGTATTTTAAGTCATGTATTTTGGGGCCTCTTGTCTTTAAGGTGAAAATATATACATATACACACACACAAAATTGTTATGTACTCATCTTTTATTGACCCTTTTATTATTACAAAAAACCCCTTACTCTCTCTAACAAAATTTTGCCTTAAAATTTTTGTCATTAGTATAACCACTAATTCTCTTATTATTGCCATTTGGGTAGCGTGGATATACTATTGATTTACAACTGACCAGGAAGAAGTGTCATTATGTTTGATGATACCTGGATATCTGCTTTTTGACTCTTGTCCAAAATAAGGACAGTAGAATTTACGATGTGTTGTTTAAGGCTTAGAATTTCTCTGGAAATCTGAGTCAGTTTCTTTACTGATGATTTGCAACTGATCTAAGTGGAGTGGTGTGGCAAGTTTGCTTGATTATGGGGTTAGAGGGACTAAAAACCCATTTCCTTCAAGTAATATTACTTCTGGCCATATATCCAGATAAAACTATAACTCAAAAAGATTCATGCACCCCAATGTTCATGGCAAGACTTTTTACAGTAGCCAAGAACCTAAATGTCCATTGACAGATGAGTGGATAAAGAAGATGTGATATATATAGAAATAGATATAGATATATACACATACACACAACAGACACACACAATGGAATATTACTCATCCATAGAAAAAGAATGAAATAATGCCATTTGCGGAAACATGTATGGACCTAAAGATTATCATATTAAGTGAAGTAAGTCAGACAGAAAAAGGCAAATATCATATGATATCACTTATATGTGGAATCTAAAAATAGATACAAAGTTTATTTACAAACCAGAAATAGACTCAAGGACATAGAAAATAATTTATGTTTACCAAAGTGGAAACTGGTTAGGAGGCATACATTAGGACTATGGGATTAACAGATATACATCACTATATATAAAATAAACAAGGACCTACTGTATAGCACAGGGAACTATATATAATTTCTTGTAATAACATATAATGGAAAAAATCTGAATATATATACATATATATATATATCTGACTTGCTTTGCTGCACACGTAAAACTAATATTGTATATCAACTATACTTATAAAAATAAAACTAAAAAAGAAATAAAGTAAAATAAAATATTTGCTTTGAATTCTTTATCCTTTAAGTCCAACATGAAAGGCAGTTTTTTTCCTGTTTTTTTTTTCTGTATATGGGTCACACATTCTTATTTTTTTCATACCTCATAATTTTTTGTTGAAGACACAACATTGTAAAATGATTATAAATCAATAAAAATGTTAAAAAATAAACATTTTAAACAATATACTTTATCAGCTCTCATTTCTGATTCGTCCCTGTCTCTGGGGCTTGTTGTTGCTAGGTTTTGTTTATTTACTGACTTGCCTGGACTACTTCTATGAAATCTATTTCCCCCCAATAGGTGTAGCCTCTGATGTCACTGCACAGTTTCTTTTCCCTTGTTTTTATTTTTAAGCCTGGTTTTCTACAGGTTAACTCTATGTCAGCATATCATAATGATAAAAGAATAATTGGTCAGAGATTTTTCTTAATTTCCTTGAAGCAGTCAATACCTTACCTTTATCAAACCTGCATGTGGTTTTGAAAACACTTTCAAAGTTTTAGGAGTGTTAAAGTTTTAGCAAATATGCCACACATTTTAT